CGGTGCCTGGGCCAGCTCCAGCACCTGCCTGACTGTCTCCTCTCTTGCAGAGCCCAGAACCACCTGGGGAAGCCGCAGAAGGTATGTGTTGGTCCTGGTGCTGCAGCAGCAACTCAGCCTCATATCAGGGGAGGGGAACCTCTGAGTGTAGGCAGACAAATGGACTTTGTTCCTGGGGCCTGCAGGCTTCAGGGCAACTGGGGTGCACTTGGAGGGCTGGAAAACTCCCCCCTGGAGGAGAACCTCTGAGTGTAGGCAGACAAATGGACTTTGTTCCTGGGGCCTGCAGGCTTCAGGGCAACTGGGGTGCACTTGGAGGGCTGGAAAACTCCCCCCTGGAGGAACAGCTCTGACCCCTGGCACTGCAGGGGATCAGAGGGAGTGGGGTCTGTCCCAGCTGTCTATGCCCTGTCCATGCCCCCGCCGGTGCCGGGTGCAAGCAGGGGTGCAGAGGGGCCGACGCAGGGGAGGAGGCTGGGGAGCTGCAGCATAGCCTCGGGGCCCCATGTTTGTTAGTGCTGGGGAGTGCCCTGGCACGGGGAGGCAGGGCTGGGGCCAGTGACTAGTGACTCCTGGACAGAAGCCACGTGCATGCGTTCAGCTTCATGCCACGGGACAGTTGCGATCAGCGTGCGCGCACACCGCCCTGCTGCAGGCAGCAGGGAGCGTCCGGGGCACTTACTAATCCTCAAAAGACCCTCGAGCCAGACTTGTGACCTACTGTTGCTGGGCTGGGTGCCCTGTGGAGAGAGGTGCCGGCCTGGCAGAGCCTGGTGCCTGAGGTGCCCATGCTGTCCAGCTTTCCTACCTGTTTGCCTGCTGCGCTGCCTGGCCCAGAGCTGCCCCTTGCATGCTGCTTGACGTGTGAGCCTGTGTCTGTGTGTTTTGTCTCGCTCAGGACTCACTCCCCTGCTCTGAACCCCTGAAATATAACTTCGCTCCCAGCACCGCCCTCAACAAAACAGCTCGGCCCTTCGGGGCCAGCTCGCCTCCGAACCCAC